AAAGAGTCATGTACCAAAATGTTCATTGCAGCTCTATTTACAATAGCCCGGAGATGGAAACAACCTAAGTGCCCGTCGTCGGATGAATGGATAAAGAAGATGTGGCACATATATACAATGGAATATTACTCAGCCATAAAAAGAAACGAAATTGAGCTATTTGTAATGAGGTGGATAGATCTAGAGTCTGTCATACAGAGTGAAGTAAGTCAGAAAGAGAAGGACAAATACCGTCTGCTAACACATATATATGGAATTTAAGAAAAAAAAATGTCATGAAGAACATAGGGGTAAGATGGGAATAAAGACACAGACCTACTGGAGAACAGACTTGAGGATATGGGGAGGGGGAAGGGTGAGGTGTGATAGGGCGAGAGAGAGACATGGACATATATATACTAACAAACGTAAGGTAGATAGCCAGTGGGAAGCAGCCGCATGGCACAGGGAAACCGGCTCGGTTCTTTGTGGCTGTCTGGAGGGGTGGGATAGGGAGGGTGGGAGGGAGGGAGACAAAGAGGGAAGAGATATGGGAACATATGTATATGTATAACTGATTCACTCTGTTATAAAGCAGAAACGAACACACCATTGTAAAGCAATTATACCCCAATAAAGATGTTAAAAAAGAAAAAGAAAAAGAGCGCCGCGGAGGACCCCAACTGCAGGGCCTTACATGGCAGCTTTAAACTAGGGGGTCGGAGGATGAGCCAGAGGTGGAGGTCCAAGTCAGAAGAATCCAGCTCACACTGGGCCCTCTGCTTATAAAAAAAAAAGAAAAGAAAAAGAAAAAAAAAAGCATAAATCCTTGAACTTGAAAAAAATATCTTCCATTCCAGTTTGCCCCCAATAAGTTTGATTAAACCAATATAATGGTGTAAGTATAAAACACACAAAACTTAAGGAAAAAACTAAAAAACCAAGATAATAGCCGAAGTCGTAACTAAAATTCATGTAGACAGCTGCCAAAGACTTAAGGTTTATAAAGTACCTGTCCTGGGATCTGAGGTGAGGCCTCTTAGCTCTGCAAACTTAATTCAGGGGTTAGAATACACAGTGAAACTCAGATCCCTAGTCCAATCTCACACCCACTGCAAGAGACCCCCACTTCCAGGATTCCTCAGAATGTGCTCCTTTAGCCTCTGTTTGAATGATTCTGATAACAAGGAGCTCACTACTCTCTTCATTTGGTTGATGTTTATTTTGTGCCCAATTACTATTGATAGAAATGAGAAATTAGAATCAACCCAAATGAATAGGGCTAAGTAATGCTACTATCAAGATGATAGAGCGCTGTACAGCTACCAAGAGTGATAAGAATGTGGCCTATCTCAATTCATGGAAGTGTGTACATAGTAATCTTCAGTAACAAGAACAGAACAGAAGCAGTATTTACACACTGATTACAGCTACGTTAAAATCTCAGTGTGTACATTAGGAGCTAGAATGTAATTTTGCAATTTAGAATGGTGCAAATAATTGTAGTTTCATGTCATTTTGATTTTTTAAAAAGTAGTATATGTACAGAATTTAAATGAAATTTAGTATCCAGAATTAAAAAAAAAAAATCCTCCATTAAAGGACTCAGGGATTTTCATTTCAAAATTGAGAATGGGTGTATGAACACTAGATTGGGAAGGATCCTGAGGCCATGTCTCAGCATCACGAAAGAGAGTGATCTGTTTGATTAGCCATGTCTGCCATGGGTGGAGGATTAGCAGTGGCAGTGTGCATGCTAGTAGCTGCCATCTCTTCTCGAGATACTCCCAGCAACCAGTGTCACTTTTGTAGTCACTCTGAAAGGTTAATGAGCTGTTTAAGGAGCCAGGTGAGGGAAAAGACCTTTTCTTTTAGTTACAAGTGATAGGATTTGGGGCAAGTCACTGGGATATAAGACAGTATGAAATAAATACCATAAAGGGGGGAAAAGCAAAGTCCTCCACAATAGGAGCCAGTTTGAGAGTAGGTGAGCACAGTAGGGAAGGCTTTATGGCCTTTGTACTGGGTCTTGAAGGATGAGGAGATTTTGCAGGTGGAGATGCTGGGGAGGGTATTGCAGATGGAGACTACAGCATGGATAAAGGCACGGTGGTTGGAAAATAACAGGTCTCCTGGGAGAAAGCAAGGAGATTGCTATGGCTGGAGCACAGAGCATGTGTAGGTTAGTAGTGGAAGATGAGTGTGGAAATGCAGGAAGGGGCCAGCCTGAGTGTGTCCTCAAGGCCAGGGTGATGAGTTTGGATTTTATTTAATTAGCCACAGGGAGCCTTTGATGAGTTTTGACGCAGGTGGTGCTTAGAGGGAGAGGAGACCAGAGGGTGATGAGATAATGCCTCTTTCCTGGGAAACCATCACTATGAGAGGACACCAGGCCCTGGATTTTGACACGATCCCTTTAGAGTGTGGGGTGGAAATCAGAGCACTGGGATAATGGGGTGTGGGAGATAAAACCAAGACCTACTGAGAACAATCCCATGGGCTCCATCTAGTGTTCAGGATTTCCTGAGCTCTGGGCCAAGCCCAGGGAGGTGGAAGCCACAATCTCTGCCTTCTAGGAGTTTCTAGTCTATAGAGTGAGGAAACGTACACCAGAAGACGACTGGAGACCAATCCTAGACAGTGTGCGATCCGGCACTAAGGGGAGGGCACCAGCTGGGTGTGCAGTGTTTAGGGGCAGAAGATGAACTTGGTGGGCAGCCAGTGGGTCAGGCTTACTGGGGCTCCTGTCCTTGGTGGGAGGTAGCCCTGGATGACTTCTAAAGTGTCCTCAGACTCTGTACATCCCTGGCTCTAGGAGGAGAGGTCCTGAAGGATGGGCAGAACTTGGACATGTAGAAGGAAGAGAAATGGGCTTTCCAGGAATGGGGAGCTGGGTGGTGGCGGGGCAGCCAGGGCAGACAAGGACTTAGGATGTATGGGGACACCGAGGGGACTGACTGAGCTGTCAGGTCAGGTTGGGTAGGTGGGGCAGTAAAGCCCCAGGGCCTGGCTGCCAAGCAGGGTACCCTGGCTCGATGCAGTAGGCCAGGGATATTCGGAAGGGATGTGGTGTGACTGGGGTTTGGGGACAGTTAGCCCACAGCCATCAGACTCCTTGGGTCCCGCCAGATAAGGAAAGGGTCCCTGGAGGACCATGTTGTGGAGTCTTGTTGGCCTCACAAGACTTAGGGGACCCCATGGATTCTGCTATATTCACAAGATGTGGCAAGATTCCAAGGATCCTATGACCTTCTTTTGCCTGACCTTCCAAACCTGCGGATTCCCCTACCCCAGGGAAAGCACTCCCTCGTTACGTTGCCTTCCACTCCAGTGTCCCTGGAGACTGCAGGGAGGAATGGGAGCTGATTTGGCCTTGAGACACAACCAGGCAGGTACCTCCCTCTCTGTGCCAGGCCCGGGTGGACCTCTAGTGCCCTCCGTCCCCTCCTCCATCCAGGGCCAGGGGAGACTCCAGGGCTCTGGCCGGGCAGTGGGTGGAGGTGGCCAGAGTGGAAAGTCCCCACGGGCTGGATTATATCGGTGTTTGGCAGGCCTGGTCTTGGCCTTCTGCCTGGGGCTCAAGAGCCTGACAAATCTGTTTGGAGCCCTGAGTGAGGGGTGAGGTGGCAGAGAGGGTACTGGAGTGGGGACTTTTTCCACTCACCCCAGAACGGAGAATTCTCCAGTGCCAGGTTGGCGGGCATTGGGCCAACTCCAGGTCACCTCAGGCAATGAGAAGCTTGTAGCTGGGAAGCAGGCAGGACCCGGAGATGAGGGACAGAGGACACGGCAGATCAGGCTCGGGAGCAGGAACGAGGACAGACGAGAGCTGGGGAAGAGGGTAATGGGGGACACAGGCGTTTTAGGAGAACAAAAGACATGGGCAGGGACTTCCCTGGTGGTCCAGTGGTTAAGATTCAGTACTCCCAATGCAGGGGGCATGGGTTTGATGCCTGGTCGGGGGACTAAGATCCCTTATGCCGCACAGTGAGGCAAAAAAAAAAAAGACATGGGCAGAGTCTCAATGGAACAGAAGAAGAGAGACAACGAAGAACAGAAGCAGGGGCTGGCATGTCCCCTCCTCCCTTGCCCCTGCCCAGGCCTCCTGTTGCTGCAGATCAGTGCCAGTGGCACAACCAGAAGCCAGTGCGGCTTACTCTGTGGGTGTGTCCTGAGTGCTTGCTGAACTATGATGAGAATTGCTCCAAATGTCCCATTTGACCAGGAAAACCTCCAAAGCTGCCCCCAATAGCTCTGACTTCAGCCACTGGCAACCCAGCCCCACCATCTGCATCTGTGCTAACAATACTGCCAACATCACCACTGTCAGCATCACGCTCACCACTACCATTATCATTACCATCTTCCTAGCTACTGACCCCATCAACCCCCGACACTCCTAACTGCATACCCCAAGGAGCTGGGGGTGCTGGAACCAGGACTTAAGTCAGAATCTTCGAGTGCATCACCTACAGACCAGCGATTCTCAACAATTTTGCTCCCGAAAGGGACATGTGGCAATGCCTACAGACACTGTTGGTTGTCACAACTGGGGGACTGTTGCTGGCATCTAGTGGGTAGAGGCCAGGGATGCTGCTAAACATCCTACAATGCCGAGGACAGTGCCCACAGCAAAGAGTTTTTGTTTGAAAGTGTCGGAAGTACTGAGGATAAAAAACCTGCCTATAGATCCTACGGCCCTCACTCTGCGCTCCTCTGGCCCTCACCCTAAAAGGCTTACCTCACACCTCTGGTTCCTGCACAAGAAGTCATATTTGCCACTCGATCTTACGGCAACTTTGATTTCTTATCGCTCGCACCTCCCGGCCTCCACTGCTTGTACTGAAAAGTCAATGAGATGAAAAGCCTTTTGCAGCCACCCTCACAAGGGAAAACATACAGAGATAACTGATATAGGGAGCTCAGGGTACGGGCCGGGATTGAGGTCATGCTGGTGCAGGGCAGGGAGGCAGGGGCTGGGCTGGGTCCTCGGGGTATAAAGGAGGGAGGAGTGTTCAGGCCTTCACTCCACTCCGACGCCGCAACTCTGAGCTGCTTCTCACTGTGGCCAGCTGGGAACCGGCATCATGAAGTGGATGGTGGTGGCCTTGGTCTGCCTCCAGACCTTGGAGGCGGCAATGATCAAGTGAGTCTGGGGCCTGGCTGCTGGGGCAGGAGCCTGGGCAGCCATTTTTTTTTTTTTTTTAAATGAACTACCATAGACTGGATGGCTTATAAACAACAGAAATTTATTTCTCAAGGTTCTAGAGGTTAGGAAGTCCAAGATCAAGGTGACTGTAGATCTGGTGTCTGGCGAGAATCTGCTTCCTAGTTCATACAGCCCCATCTTTTGGCTATCCTCACATGTTGGAAGGGACAAGGAAGCTCTCTGGATGATCTGCCTCTGCTCTGGGACTTCTGAACAGGGAAGCTTCCCTGAATCGGTGTAGGACAGGACTCAGCGGTGGGAGGAGATATGGCCTCTGCTTTCAGGGAACTTCCAGTCAAAGGGAGAATCACCATTCCTTCCCCCACTGATGAGAAAAGATGGATAGGAAACAGGGAGAATAGGGGTGACTACCACCCAAGCAGATGCTGAACGGCCGGTACAATTATTTCTAGATAGGGAGACGTTTGCTAGTATTTTCCTTAAGGCCCCCAGTTGATTTGGCAGATGCCCAAATCATCTAAGCAGAAACACCAGTCATGTGACCTCTACACGCTGAGGTGTCAGGAGATAGGGAACGAGGCGGCACACAGCTCACAGGACATCAGGAGGACTCGCGGCCTGCCACTCTGCCTGCTATTCTACCACTAAAGAGTGATTTTTTTTTTTTTTTTTTAGTGAAAGCCTCTATTTATTTATTTATTTATTTTTGGCTGTGTTGGGTCTTCGTTTCTGTGCGAGGGCTTTCCCTAGTTGCGGCGAGCGGGGGCCACTCTTCATCGCGGTGCATGGGCCTCTCACTGTTGCGGCCTCTCTTGTTGCGGGGCACAGGCTCCAGACGCGCAGGCTCAGTAGTTGTGGCTCACGGGCCTAGTTGCTCCTCGGCATGTGGGATCTTCCCAGACCAGGGCTTGAACCCGTGTCGCCTGCATTAGCAGGCAGATTCGCAACCACTGCGCCACCAGGGAAGCCCTAAAGAGTGATTTTTTGGCGAAGAGATGGCTCCTCTCAGAAACTTCTTTGAATATGCAAATTCTGTAACTGTGATGGGGTGCAGCAACCATCAGCCTTCATAGCTCAAGGTGAATGGGTTTAGCAGAGAATTTCTGGACAATGAAGGGTCTTGGTGGAATGGGGAAGAGATGGGGAAAGAAGTGAAAGCAGCAGGAA